TTGCTATAATTTTATCCATTTAATCTAAGTTCTATAATAGCTAGTCTTTAATGGGCATGCTATACATGTGTATGTATTGAGGAAAACTTAAAGGCCTTGGTTACTCAGTATTTTATCAGATAATGAGGTCCCCTGATGGCAGCTTGAATCAGTCAATGGCCATTAATGAGGCTGTTATTCAGAGTACCATTAGGAACATGGCCAAACTTGTCTGCCTCTCCCTCTGATCTAGTGTGCCAGAGTAAACCTTCCTTTGTCAGTCGTTGCCACTGGTGACAAGGCCCTCTCCGAGTCTAAAACTCCCTGTAAAGCAAAATTCCCCTCTGGTTAGCAGACTTGCTGGATGAAAAATTCAGAAATGCCAATTCGAAATGACTTCCATTATGAATAGCTTACAAACTTGCTTGCTTTTTATTGCAGCTGCTAAATCATGGCGGGGAAGGGCAAGAGAAAGAATTTCAGAAACAACTGCCTTTTATTTTTATTTTCCCATAGAGGTTTCTGTGATCTCTTTATTAGACACAATATGTGTCGGCTATTCAACTCATAAAAAAGCAGAAAAACATGCCAGGAAAGGAGAAAATTTTCTGTTTCTCCTTTCCTGTGAAAACTTTGAATGAGCTCATCTGGGTTCTCTCCTTTCAATGAAAGCTATGCTCATCCCTCAGCCCTCGTCTCCTCCTCATTCTCCATTGATGATGTCAGGCAGGCCTTACAGTATCTTTTTTGTGATCTTATAAAATCAATGACAACCAAAAACATTTCCCTTCTGGCTATGACTTCATCAGTGTTCCACACCTGGACAGGCTTCATCTGCATTGGTAAGTAGAGCTCAACTCCACTGATCCAGACTGAAGCAATTTACCAGGATACTACTGCTTTCCTTCAAAATGCCGCCCACACCATTCAGACTTAGAAGATTTCTGAGCAACCTGGTCGAGTGTTGGGTCTGACTAGTCAAGATGGCTCTCCAGTCTTTGTGCTGATCTTTGCACACACCAGAAACTCTCCTTTACTCAGTACTGTTTTTGCCCTGGACACAAAGTAATCAATACCTCAAAATGTTAGGTAGGTGACGTTTTGATGATATCCTTACACTCCCTCCTCCACTCTACTGTATGGTAGTCTCATCTATATTCCGAGCAGTGAAACAGGCATTCCATTAAGTCAATTTAGGACAGAAAGGAATTTTGGGCCACTGGATCTACATGGCTGTAAATGTCCTCAACCAGGGATATAGATAGGGAAACATCTCCATGCCGAGAAACACTCGCCAAGTACGCTCAAAGCTCTGAGACTTAGAAGATAAAATCAGTACATAATGGATGAGTTTGGGGAGAAGCAAAAGGCACAAAAGACAATATCTTACAGGCCCAAAGAGAGCAGAGAAAGGAAGGTTTGACTGTATTGGCATGTCTGAAACGAAATGGTGTTTACATGTTTAAATACAAATTGTGGGGAGAGTAGCAATGGCCCTACAATGCATCTGAGAGCAGAAGTGGCAACTCACTCAAGTCAGAGGATGGGGCAGAGGAGAGTCTAGCTGTGGACCAGGGAGAGCTCAGCAGGCCTCCCTTTCTGTGGTCCATGTGAAATATGCCTTGTCACTAGCCACCTCCCTTGCTCTGAATCCAGGCACTCCAACCACTTTTCAGAAGGCTAATTCAATCTTTCCAGTTGACACCGAGACACGGAGAGGTTGAGATACACACAGGCACTCTACAAAGGGCTCTTGAAAAGAATATTCCCGACTGTAAAAATAACTTGGCTTTTGTTTGGTGCATTATTCTCACAATAATAATAATAATAGCTGATAAATATTGAGTGCTTTGCTATAGGCTTGGCACAGTTACAAGCATTTTACATGATGAATGCATTTAATCTCTACCAGAACCCTCCAGGTCAAGCACTGTTATTATCACCATTTTACAAATAAAGAAACCGAGTCAGAGAATATAAAGAAGTTGCTCAGGGTTATATAGCTAGGAAGTGACAGAGCCAGGATTCAAATCCAGACTATGAGGCTCCAGAGCCCGCAGGCTTAATTGCTATGCTATGCCTGCTCCTGTGAATTATTATGAACAAATTTCCCTGCATCTGGTCAACTCAGGTGCATTGGCAAGACCAAAGTCCATACATTCCTTACAAAATCATGGGAACACCTGAGCACTTTGAGTCTCAAAACAACCCTCCCCCCCGCCTCCTTTTGGTCTACAGTCCCACTGAACTGAAGGTAAAAAAATCCTCTGCAGCATCATTAAAAGCACAGAAGCACGGAGATTTACCATGAGGAACTGGTTGCAAGTGAGCGGAACCAGCTCCTAAGTTCATACTCGAAAAATTTCAGTGTGAAGACTTCTAGTGAAAAATACGTGGGAGCAAAGTTGAGCTAATGTTTTACACATTTTAGAATTGCTTTCAGGATGTGTTTCATTTTAGAAAAGCTAGAGAAAAAACAGAAAACATTTATTGAGTGTGAACTATGTGCCTGGCATTGGGCTAAGTGCTTTTTCACACATGCAATCTTATTTAACGTCACAACAATCCTATAAAATATTATTAATTTCATTTTTATGGATGAGAACAAAGACCCAATGAGGTTTTACACTTTGTTCGAGATCACACAGCTAATAAGCAGTATAATTGGTAATCAAACTTAGAAATACACACCCCCCTCTCCCCAATTTGGGTTATTTTGGGTTACATGTTATACAGTGCTACGCAGGATCTTGATGTCATTTGAAGGAAATTGTAACCTCTTGATTCTCGGTAGTCATGAATGCATCTACTGCCTTCACTAGTCTGTAAACGTTATGGGGCACAAAGCTCGGGTCTTACTTATTGCTACAGGTTGATAATACTTGGTGGAGAGTATGCTCAGAACAGTAGCTGGTGAGCCCCTTAATACTGTGAGTGTAGACATTGACACAGGGATATATGATAATCCCAGGTAAAGACACGAATACAATCTTAAGGCAAAGTATACGACTGAGCCTTAATTTTTTGAGGCACTGTGTGGCAGATCTGCCAGCAGACGTGCACAGACCCCACCACTGCAGCACAGGACGCAGCGCCCTAAGCCCTGGGGTGGGGTCTGTGACTTACCTCACCAGGCAGCCCCTTTCCCCCCCTTCCCTGGTGCCTCTCTGGCTGCTGTCTCACTTCCCTGGCTTTGAACCTTTTGGCAGCCTCCAATAGCCCCTCTTCAAAGAACTGAAGACAGGCCTGATGTTTCAATTGCCTTGCTTAATTCTAGACAGGTTTCCATTAATCGTATTAAATGCAGGTGAACAAAGGGCATTGAGTTTGTGACAGAGCTGAACGGTATCTGGATAAATATAAACAAGAGAGGTAATCCCCTAAGAGCCACTGTTTGCCCTCAATTGGAAGGATGTCAGCAGTGCCCTTGCTAAAGGAGGTTGGAGGGTGGAAGGCAGAAGAGATTTAACAAGACCGGTGCTGAGCATCTGGACTCTGTATTAAAGAGGGGGATAAAGCTGGTGACTGGAATACATTAGGAGAAACGCAAATGTTCTATTCACCAAAAAATAGGCATTAATAATATCAGCCTTTAATCTACCCAAGGCTCCTTAGCTTGCCTTATTCATTGTTGACTTTCATCTTCTCTGCAAAGCCTCCTGCTAAAGGGCCCTTCTCAGATCAGCTTTAGGTCACAGGGGCAGAAATACTGTTGCTGAACAGATATGCCAGGGAGTAGCATGTGTGACTGGAAAACAGTGTGACAACATAATCCCAGCATGGACCAATGAGGTCAGTGTGGGGTGATGTTGGCTTTTCTAGCATCTACTGAATCATCTGTTGGAAGCAACAATTGAAAAGAATAAAAACAAACACATGCAACACACTGCCATGAAGACTGCCTGGCCCAGGTCTGAGAAAAAGGATCCGATTTGGGTAGGATCAGGTGGGAAATGGAGGGAACAATGAGCTGGGAGTTAGGAGACCTCAGTTTGCTTCTTCCCTCCCCCTCTCGCTGAGTGGCTGATAGACCTCAGGTTGCCTGCCCTCTGAGAAATGAGGACACTGGTATGAATCTAAGGTTTTCTTTAGTTTCAAAGGCAAGGATGTGTCCTATATAAAAGAGGTTTTATAAAAGTGCACTACTATAAGACCACAACCTTGGAGACACTGTAATCTGAATCTTGATTTTCTTAATTCACACTTGGGTTGCGGGAAACGAGTTAAGTCGGCTCGCGTGAATTGCGCGTACTCCGCGGGAGCCGTCTTAAACTCGGTTCATATAGATTTGCGGTGGAGTGCGGGAAACGTGTAAACTCGGGCCGATTGTAACTGCGTATTACCAAATATTTCATTTCAATCGAACCCATACTTCAAAAGATATAGGCATTTTAACGCGCCATCTTATATTTTGGCGGGAAATTCACCCGACACCGTAGTGTTCACCCTGTGTAGAATGTTTTGCATAACACTGTTGGGTAAAGGCAAAGCATTGGCAGGTGCATTAGAGCAAGAGGTTGAAAACAAAACAAACAGAATCAGAACACTCCTGGCTCAGACTGTGACCGCAGAATTCTAATTCCCCATGGGTCTTAAGGTCTTTTTTGCAACGGGTGTAACAAGGAGAAATGACAGGATCCCAAAAGAGCAGTCAATAATCTTAGGTCACAATTACGTTTCCCAACATGCTACTTACTTGTGCACATCTCCTTTTCTCATGTTCTTTCTGTCTGGAATATTTTCCCTATCTCTGCTTATAAAAATTCCACTCATCCTAACTCTAAGACCTCCTGATGGAATGAAATGTCTTTGCACACCCTTTGGTTATCACTTAGAGTACTTATTTCATTCTACCTCCTCCTATACATCACCTCCCTTTAATTATAATTACAGGTTATAAGCTTCCTGAAGGCAGGGCATGGATCTCATTTGTCTATGTGTCCCTGGTCCTGCTTGGCACATTGGAGGCACCCACCCAATAATGGTTTCTGAATTGAACTGAACAGGGATTTCCACGTTACCTGCTAACGTTACGGCAATGGAGACAGAGTCATATCCCAAGGCGTTTGTGGCATTACAAGTGTAGAAACCCACATCAGCTTCCACTGGTGCCAGGATCTGTAAGGAATCATCTGGTTGTAGAAGAATCCTGGAACAGAAAGAAACATGTAGGCCAGGTCAGTTGAGTCCTCTTCGGAAATCAATATTGGTAAAGCAGGAGGGAACCCAAGGAACATTCAGAATCCTGTTTTAACAAAATGATACTCAGGAACTCAGGCTCTCTTTCCACTGTGATTGCTGGGATTCTGGTAGCAACACTGAATAAGGAGGTTTTGACTGCTTATGCTGCTTGTTGACTGCTTGATCTAAATGCTACCAGTGGGAGCAGACAGCACATGTGTCCTAAATACACAGAATGCGCCTCAGGGGTGAGAGGGGAGGGAGAATGAATGCTGCAGATGGATCTGGGGAAGTATTAAGGAAAAGGCAGTATTATAAAGGAGGAATGGGGCTTAGTTGGATGGGAGAAATAGAGCTTCCAGATATGAAGAAAGGCATCTGTTCATATAAACAAGAGAGGTAATCCCCTAAGAGCCAAGGTTTGGAGGAGGGAGAGAGGAAGCCAAAAATCAAATATCAATGAGAGGATCTTGATGTGTACATTGGAAGGCAATGATATATGTAATTACCTCTCCATTTCAGGTAGTCTTATGTACATCTATTGTCCTCATTAGTCTGCAAACATTATGGGCACAAAACTCAGATCTTACTTATTATTTTAGTTCCCACAATATTTGGCAGAGGGCCCTATGTAGAGGAGGTGCCCAGTAGAATGAAGGCAATGCCTGCCCTTTGGGGTCATGTAGACTATTCCAGAATAATCACTAGTTCAGACTCTTTGCTTTACTTGAAAAGAATGACAAGAATCAAATTGTGGGTGCCTACCACATGGACTTCAAAACCCATTCCAACCTCGTCTCCTATTTTTTCTTCTCTTGACTTAGACCACTTACAAGAACTAACTACTACATCATGGCAGTGAGGCAGATTAATGATTAAGGGTGACTTGAAGCTGATATCTTGGTGACTTGGTGAGGCTGATGATAACTGGAACGTGTTTGCGGAGGTGAGGATCCAGAGGGCAGTTGAGGAGGACACAGTGGGAAGCTCAGAGATCCAGTACTCGGACCTGGCGGGGCCTTAGGTTGATAAATCATTCAACAGCACAGAAATGGCTTAGAGTTGGATTTTGCACTATTAGAGTCAGTCATTTCTACCTTTGTGATTATTTTCAACTCCCTAGTTTCAAAAGGCTCAAAGATCTGGTCGCCTAACATATCAATATCCATTCTTAGAAGGCAAGCAGGTAGCAGGGGCTGTTTTTCAGGAAAGGGAAAAAAACCATAAAAATCTCAGGAGAACTCACAAGACTTGGTGATAAAATGAAGACAGGGAGTTGGCTCTCCTGCCTTAGCAACACATTCTCCCCACTTGACAATTCTTTCCTTTCTTCAGTATTGCTCTAGAGCAGTGGTTCTCAACCTGTGAGTTGCGACCCTTTTGGTGGTCGAACGACCCTTTCACAGGGGTCACCTAAGACCATCCTGCATATCAGATATTTACATTATGATTCATAACAGTAGCAACATTACAGTTATGAAGTAGCAATGAAAATAATTTTATGGTTGGGTCACAACATGAGGAACTGTATTTAAAGGGCCAGAAGGTTGAGAACCACTGCTCTACACTCTGGCATTTACAGTTTGGCACAGCCTCTAGTGAGCTCTTAATTTTTCTGAGGTGGTTGAGGAGTCTGGCACCGAATCAGACCCCCTCAGCACTACTTTTGGTCTTGGGCCTATTGCATTGCTTATTATTATTATTATTTTTTTGCATTGCTTATTCTTACCTCCTATCTCAGGGAAGGCAGGGAAGAGAAAAAGCAAGGCTTACATCAATCTCCAATCTAGTTACACGTGGGCAGATACAATCAAAAAGTGGGGACAGAAATAGAAAACCTTGGATGGTTTGTGTTTGCTTCAGTGCCATTCCAGACCATCACTGCGATTACTGGGGACAGCCAAGCTTTTGTGGACTTGAACCAGAGCTGAGGGATGACAGAGGGGCCAGGAGAGACTGTGATAGCACTCATCCAGCCATTCAGTCACTCATCCATCAGCTATTAGGTGTTTTGTCTCAAATAATCACATGTTCACTGTTAGTTTATTTCAAAGGAACTAATAAGAGAAAGACGACTATACAATTTACTTATCTTTGGTAAGCCATGCAATATTTAATAATGTCACTGTGTTCTAAAGGTATCTTAACAGATATAATAGAGTATTATTTCCAAATCTCTTTAGATGTTCAGGCTGTTTTAGACTTGAAAAATTACAAATTGACTCTATTATTTAAAACTTTATGATGTCCCAGGAACATGTATGCCTCCATAACAATTTCCAAATGAAAATAAGGACAGCAGGTTTAGGCAAATTTAAATATAACTACTCAGGATAATAGAACTTAGTAGATAATTGTTCAATTTTATCACACGCAAAAGGCATGGATTAAAATTTGTTAAATTCCCAAGTCCACCAGGACAGTTGCCTCCCTAAAACTGGCACTCTCTCTCTCCTCTACAGACAGAGTTCTTGAATTGAACATTCAGAGCAGGTCTACTGAACTTTATTTTGGTCCTGCTATGATTTATGTAATCACCATGGGCAAATCCCTTCACCTCCCTGCATTTCAGTTTATCAATGTCTAAAACCCAGTTGAAGTATGTTTTCCTACTCAGCAGAGGGAACTGTTAAAATGAGCTTGATAAGGTACTTCCAGACCAACTTTTGGTATTTCAATGACCCTTCCATTGATAATGTTGGACACTTTGAATGGAGGCTTAACCGTGAAGAGGGGATGGGGATGAGAAGATTTTGAGAAAGAAGCAAGAGTCATATGATATTGGCCAATTTCCCCCTAGACAACAGATTAGATCTTCATATTCACAGATCATGTTTTCCCCATAGAACAGCGGTTCTCAACCTGTGGGTCGAAACCCCTTTGGCGGCCGAATGACCCTTTCACAGGGGTCACCTAAGAACATCCTGCATATCAGATATTTACATTACGATTCATAACAGTAGCAACATTACAGTTATGAAGTAGCAACGAAAATAAGTTTATGGTTGGGTCACAACATGAGGAACTGTACTTAAAGGGCCAGAAGGTTGAGAACCACTGCCATAGAACTACTGCCCTTGCCTGATCGCATGCAGAGGATGTAAACCCCTCTCCCCCACTGAGCCTAAATCAACTATGGTTTTAGGCAGGTGTTAGCTTTTGTAGCTGCATGAGTTCCTCCAGGCCCTGGTGCTGAGTGAGCCATAATGTGTTCCGCCTGTCTAACGCCTGGAGAAGAATGCTCACAAAGTTGGCAAGGAGAAGGGAGGGGATCCATGACACCGGGCACAAAACCATGTGTCTTAACTAGGATGGGAACAGTGGAAATGGAAAGGAATCTGGGTCTTGAGACTAGCATTTGTATATTCTTTTATTCTGTAAACTGTCTATACAAAGATAAAAAAGCTTAAGTATCTGTCTTCATAAAAACAGTTTTAAATATTGTCTTAAGACAAAATCTACATGGGACAAAATCTAAATTCGTCATGTATTTGCATATATACTTATAAATTATTTATATTCACAAAACTGAACTCTTTAGCTCAAGGGTCTGTAGTAATTTGATGGCAGAGTCAGGATTTGAAATAAGGTTTCTTGGACCAGCACTTTGCCCCCAATCTATCATGTCTTTAATATACCCATAAAACTGGTAGATGGGGGTTTGGAAGCTGCCACTAGTGGGCGCAATACAGTGGGGCCTTGACTTACGAGTGTCCCGACTAACGAGTTTTTCGAGATATGAGCCGTCTCTCGGCCGATTTTTTGCTTTGAGTTGTGAGCTAAAATTCGGGTTATGAGCCAGCTTCAGATACCCCACTGCTAGTTGGCACAGCGAACGTCACAGTGAACGCCACAACATCAGCCCAGCATCACCTGTCTCACTCGTTCACTTTAAGATTTGACATACAAGTAATTTGAGTTACGCGCTCCGTCACGGAACGAATTAAACTCGTAAGTCAAGGCCCCACTGTAGTTCTGAAGAGAGTACCCATGCAGGGCTCTCTAGGAAACATGACAAAGCAAAGGAAAGGGCTTGTTGCGAGAGTGAGGTTTGCTATAGGCTCTCTATCTAGCCTGGCATCTACGGAGAGAGGTTCCTGGAAAAAACATACATTTCCTTTATACTTCAGGCATCTACTCTTATTAATATAACTTAATTTGTTAGTAGCTGACTTCTGTCAGCTTGTGTTTTAAGTTTTGAGTTGGACAGGACTGTTTCAGAATGCACAGGCGCAGAAATGTGGTGCTGCTTTCCAAGCAAAACCAGAAAAGATTTCTCTGGGGTTGTTTTGGAATTTAAGGAATCAGAGAATGAGGGGTCATGGAATGGGGCCTAATTAAAACCTACATAGCAAATGGTACTGTGGTCATATTAGGTATATTAATACTCGCTGCTTTCCTCCCATACCCACACCACACTTTCCTTTTGGTTTACTGAGCTAAAACTTAATGCTTCATTTCTTTGGTCATCCTTTTAACCTGAAAATGAAGGAGCCGTTTTTGCTTTTCTGGTGGCCTTTACTAGTAAGCTTCTAAGCATGACTTCTCAAACACTCTACCAATTAAATGAGGAGCTGTGGAGAGAGTACAAAGAATTGTTTTAGTTACACAGGTAAAGCCCTCATCATCCATGTGAGTAGGATATGGGCAAAGTGCCTGTGGGCCGGTCCTACCAAGTACAGGCTCCTCGAGGTGAAGTTGTTGCCTCTGCATTTGTAATGTACAATGAGAAAGTGCTCTTGTTTGAAAAGAAGGCAACTCTGAGTGTCCAAAGGAAAGTTTATAGCAATTCTGTGAGTGGAGGGGCATCGTGATGCCTTCTGAATCCTTGGTTCAACTGTGAACATCACTGTCTTGCGCAGGCCCACCTCTCATGGTGACTTCCATGACCAACCATGGAAGCTGCCTTGGAGGGGAAGCCTTCCCGACTTCACTCAAGAGACACGGAGTCATGTCCTGGTCTTGGGT